ATGTCTTTTCTTGTTCTCTACATTTTTCTTGTTCTTTAAACTCTCGTCTTTTTTCCTTGTCCTTCACATTTTCTTGTTGTTCTTCAAACTCTCGTCTTTTTTCCTTGTTCTCCACATTATTTTCCTTGTTCATCGCACCCTTCTTCATCTCTTATTCCTCACACGCTACCATCAGCATCGTTTTTCTTCAAGTCCCCCCTACGTGCAGGGAGAGGATCTTTTTCATCTACTTCCTCCGCGCTTTTCACTGTGTTGTCCCCTTTCCCGTTTTCTATGCTCGCAGACCCGGTGGCTTTCGGGAGGACTTTTTTAAGGGGAGACTCTCGACCGCGGAGGATTGCTAGCCTTTCGAAGAGTCGCCACGCCGCTCCGTTGACGAGGCTTTGGTCCACGTCGTCTAAGGAGTTGGTGCCTGGAGGAAAGAGACGGTCCGAGTAGAGAAAGGAAGTTTTTTCTGTCTGGTTGTGTTTAACTCTCTTCTCTCTTTGTCTGTCTGTCTCTCTCTCTCTCTCTCTCTCTCTGTCTGTCTGTCTCTCATTATCTCTCTCTCTCTGTCTGTCTGTCTCTCATTCTCTCTCTCTCTCTCATTCTCTCTCTCTCTCTCTCTCTCTCTCTCTCTCTCTCTCTTCTCTCTCTCTCTCTGTCTCTCTCTCTCTCTCTCTCTCTCTCTCTCTCTCTCTCTCTCTCTCTCTCTCTCTCTCTCTCTCTCTCTCTCTCTCTCTCTCTCTCTCTCTCCTCTCCCCAGCCCCCCCCTCTCTCTCTTTCTCTCATTTGAAGTGCTCACTTTCCTTATCTCCCTTTTTCAGTGCTTGCCCCCCCCCACCCTATCTTTCCTTTTAAGTGCACGCTCTCCCTAACTATCGACCCTCACTGCGCCCCTGTAACTAACCTGTGGCAGCTGTGACGACAGTGGCCACCACGATACAAATGACGACTCCCAGAAAAGAATTCAGACAGTAGGAAATGCCGTATATACCTCGGGCACCGTGTCTGAAATGCAACAGGGACGCTTAGAAAGAGAAGAAACTAGTATATGCTTAACATTTTATGATTCATGGGGGTCTTGCAAGATGAGCATTTCATATCATTTAAACTTGGAATGGTACTGGGTAAAGTTCATGTATTTTAGGGGAAGAGAATAAACTAGTACATCTTTAAACATTTTATGGTTCATGGTCTTGCAAAACGAGCATTTTGTATCATTTTTATTGGAATGGTACTGGGTAAAGTTCATGTAATTGTAGGAGAAGAGAATAAACTAATATATCTCCAACATTTTATGGTTCTTGGTCTTGTAAACCAAGCATTTCGTATCATTTGTATTTGAGATGTTACTAGATAAAGGACATACATTATAGGAAGCTCATTACACTACGATAAATACACAAGGAACCCACCCTTCATTCGGTAAGGAAACCTCCGTGGTGGCATCCGTGACAGAGGCGATGGAAGTGGATTCAGTGACAGCCAGTGTAGTGGCGTTGACAGCTATCGTGGTGGCGTTAGTGACTGGGCAGCCCTCCTGGGACATAGTCAAAAAGGGTTCCTGCGTTTGGTTCAGCAGCTGACCGATGGCTAACCACACACTTAGTATGATTGAGATGAAGAAGCCAGACGACGCTCCCTGGAAATGAAGTTGAACATCAGTCTCTCTGGACTTTTGTTTATGTATCTATTGTAGGTGTTCAGTATGCCATTATGTGAGGAATTTCATGTATTATATCATGTCATAAGTATTAAGTACTGTATTATATCATAAGTATTATTATATCATATCATTAGTATTAAGTATTATATTATATCATAAGTATTAAGTATTATATTATATCATAAGTATTAAGTATTATATCATATCATAACTATTAAGTATTATTTTACATCATAAGTATTAAGCATTATATTACATCATAAGTATTGAGTATTATACTATATAATAAGTATTAACTATTCATAGTTTATATATCTATCCGACTCTTGATCAATGGTTTTGTGATTAATAAAACATGGTTAATTTTCCCAGTATCATCCTTCCGGTACAATATATCACATACAGTTTTCAGTCTATATCTAATCTAATGTATATAAAAAATAGATCATAGAGCAAACCTTTCATGATAGAGAAAAAGAATGAAAACATTTAAGAACAAGGTCAAATAAGAACAAACGCGTCTAAACGTGTTTCTCTCTCGAACCAAAAGCCCGAAAAATGCGTTTATCAAATGTTTTGTTAGATTAAACGTTCAATTATATCTATAACAACAGAAAGGCCACGTTAATACAATCTCAATTGGTCTTAGAACACTTATGGACATATAGAACAAGGGATGGATTAGTAGGATAACAATGACCCTGTAATTTTGGATAACGACGACCCTGTAATTTTGGATAACAACGACCCTGTAAATATGGATAAATACGACCCATTTGACTGAAATTGAACAGGAATTCAGTACAGATCGAGAAAAAAAAGTTACTGTGCTTGCGGTGTTTCACTTTTTTATATAATTGTCTGATTTATTCATTTATCTGGCAGTTAATTTATTCATTTATTCAATTCTCTATCAGCTACTATATTTATCTGATTACTTAATTACCTTTCAATTCGTTTATTTATTTTTCTATATATATTTCATCTATATTCATTTATTCATCTATTTATTAATTCAATCTTTCTTCATTCATCCATCAATCTTATCCACTCCTTCTAATTTTCTTTTATTTTTTACGTTACACTCCCTCTACATCTATATTTATTCATTTTTTCATCTATAATTCCTTTACTTCATCTATCTTCCTCCATTCATCCATCAATCTCATCCATACCTTCTAATTTTCTTTTATTTTTTACATTACACTCCCTCTACATCTATCTTTCTTCATTTTTTCATCTATAATTCCTTTACTTCATCTATCTTTCTTCATTCATTCATCCATATCCATACCTTCTAATTTTCTTTATTTTTTTATGTTACACTCCCTCCACATCTATCTTTCTTCATTTTTTCATCTATAATTCCTTTACTTCATCTATCTTTCTCCATTCATCCATCAATCTCATCCATACCTTCTAATGTTCTTTTATTTTTTTACATTACACTCCCTCCACATCTATCTTTATTCATTTTTTAATCTATAATTCCTTTACTTCATCTATCTTTCTCCATTCATCCATCAATCTTACCCATACCTTCTAATTATCTTTCTTTCTTTTTTTATGTTACACTCCCTCTACATCTATCTTTATTAATTTTTTCATCTATTATAATTCCTTTACTTCACCTATCTTTCTTCATTCATCCATCAATCTCATCCTTACCTTCTAATGTTCTTTATTTTATTTTATTATTATTTTTTTTTTTACATTACACTCCCTCTACATCGCTTACCTTCAGATTGACCCAAGGCAGGAAGAGGGCGACGGTGAACAGGCCGATGAGAGGACCGGAGAGAGCGCCCGTGATGGCAAAGAGCGCCCTCAGGAAGGACCTCCCCAGCGTCGACACCACCAGACCCAGGACAATGGCCACGATACCCGAGAGGAGGACTGGAAAGGAGGTGGTGAGGGAAAAGGCTTGTATTGTGTGTGTTTCTAGGTACGTAGAAGGGGAAGGACGCGGTTTGTATGGGTGTGTCTGTGGGGGATGGTTGTGTTTGGGTGTGTGTGTTTAGGGGTGGGTGTGGGGTTGTGTGTGTGTGTGTGTGTGTGTGTGTGTGTGTGTGTGTGTGTGTGTGTGTGTGTGTGTGTGTGTGTGTGTGTGGTGTGTGTGTGTGTGTGTGAAGTGTGAAAGGACTTTGGTGTGTGTGTGTAGGTATTTTGCCTGTACTTTGCGTCTGTGGTGAAGCAAAGGGGGATTTCCATTCTCTATTTCATTTATCTTCTTATCTGTTAATTCCTTAATTCATATATTTATCTGTTTGCATGCATATATATGCGTAAACAAACATACATACACACGTATACTTACACACACACACACACACACACACACACACACACACACACAAACCACACACACACACACACACACACACACACACACACACACACACACACACACACACACACACACATACACACACACACACACACGTATACTTACACAAACACACACACACACACACACACACACAACACACATACTTACACACACATACACACACACACACAAACTCACACACACACATTCCATGACCTTCAACATCCTCTCCCATCTCATGACTCACCTATGATCTTCTGCAGCGCCCCTGCCTTGACGTCACTGAAGGAGGCGAAGAAGGGGTGTGGCTTGAGGAAGTCGGCCCAGAGTAGCGCCGTCATAGAGTTCAGCTGCGTCGACACCGAGCTGCAGGAGGTTGAGGAAAAGATGCCTTATCTCTTTGACCTTCTATAGCAGCGGTACCAAAAGATGCCTTATCTCTTTGACCTTCTCTATCAGCGGTACCCAAAGATGCCTTATCTCTTTGACCTTCTATAGCAGCGGTCCCCAACTTTTTCTTTCTTTCTTTCTTTACGCCGCACCCTTAAGAATTTTTTTTTACTGTGTCCTCGCACCCCCTCTAAATTTATAGCTTATTTAAGGATAAAGGAAGTGAATTTATACTGAATTTGATAAACAAAAGAAAATATTTTTTTCATTATATAGTAATATGTTAACATAAATGTACCAGACTATTTGAATAAACCCTTACTTGAAATATCTAAATGTGAAAATCAAAGAACTAACCTTAAAACGTTTATATAAAAGAATTTGAATTCAATGGCTCAATTCTTCCTGTTTCTTAATTATGAGAAATAAATAGATTAATCGCCTGTCTTCAAGATGGACACTTCTCGCATCCCTTGATATGCTATCTCACACCCCTGGTTGGGAAAACCCTGTTCTATAGCATGATGTTTATGCCTAGATTTTCTCAATGTGATATTGTTATTTAGATTTACTTGTAGGATGTTTTATATGTTGATTTTTAAATGTTTTGAATATTTGAACACCTGCATCCCA